CACTGGCTGACACAGCCAGTCCTCCGGCAAATGGTAGGGCAGATCTTCCGCTGGGATCCAACAGAGAAGGTCGATGCAGTAAATTAATAGACAACAGGTTAATTTTATGTACCAATGGATAAAGCTCTGGACCAAGAGAATGTGGCTGAAAATCCCAGCAACAAAGACATAGGTTTAGTTTCAATGTTATAGGGACCAAACCAGCCCTGAACCCCCCCAAAGCACATAGTACTTCCACATTACTGGTAAGAAATCTCCCTACTTTCACACCCCGCTGTACGCCCTCACCTAGCAGAGGTGTTGCTATTGAAATGTCGATTAAAGCATTTGCACAAAAATATTCCACTAAAGAGACTTTTAAGCTAAACAGGTCACTTTAATTTGGGAAACATTTTCTAGAGACTCCTTCCGGCTGTGGCTACTGGGAATAGGGCAGAAACAAACCAGGCTCTTCCAGCATTTATGCCCTGGCACACGAAATACCAGAGGCCAGTCTACCGTCAGATTGTCCATTAAAGGCTGCAATAGTGTCTCAATGGAGCACTAATGAACTTTGATCATATATGGCGCTGAGAGGTACTGAAGAAATGGGAATGTGGAATTAGGGCGTTTACATGTGTCAGCATTTTACATTTATGACATGAGTGTAATGCTAAACATATAGACAGAGCCCTGCCACAGCGGTCTGACCCTCCTTTATGGGAGTGTAATCAGGTCCCAGGTGAAACACTTGGTCTCACCTTCTTAGTAATTAAGCAGGTAGTTGGTCAGCGGGATCCTCCAGATGGTTTACACACACCTGCAGAGGCAATCTGGACTAGCAGTGGGACAGAATGTCCCTCTACTGACATCACATACACTACAAACACACAGGTAGGGCTATACAGGAACAAGCATACATGCAAACAAAGATATAGAACCCAGTTAGAAGCACAGTTAGCTTGTGTTGGTGTACCCCTTGGGCCAGTCCTGGGGCCACACTAGCTTCAGACTGAAGCTGTCTCTGAACCCCAGCTTCTCTTCTTCGTAGCAGAAGTTTTGAGTCTGCCAGTGGGATTTGCTGATCTCCATTGTTCTTCTGGTGATACATGCAGGAAAGGCTAATTACAGACGGACAGTTACAGCTGCTTCCAAAATCTGTAGTGTAGGACATGTTGTTTATTTTGTGTGTGTATATATAACAACTCCATTGTTTTTGAATTTTAAAAAGTTTCTAAGGTGTTATTTAGTTAACCTGTGAAATTACATGAGGAATCAGCTTGGTGCTACAAAGGCTACTAGCTGATTTTTGCGTTCAAGGTCATACTCTGACACACCCCCCCCCCCAACCAACCCTACATACCTCCTTACACTGGGTTTAAAGGTCACACCGCTGACCTCCACCAATCTCCCTTTCAGCAGGATCTGGCACTTTCTTTAATGGGCCAAGAGCCCTTTGGTTACCACAGCAACAGTCTCTCCCGTGACGAGCACTGGCTCCACACTGAACCCATCTGCCTCCCCTGGTCACATGTCAAACTCCCAGTGGCCAACTGCAGTTTCTCTTTCACCGATGGTGCCAACAACTGGCAAGAGCATAACCAAAGCTGATTCTCAGAGGGGGGATGAGCGGAAGAGATCCAACATGATAAATCACACACATTACGCACTTCAATCAATCCCAAACTGCCCTTCAGGCTCTGACAGGGGCGAGTGCTGCTGCCGGGAGAGCAGGTGTAACATGATAAGTCACACGGGGCTTCCAGCAAGCGCGAGTCAGAGTTCTCCGTGCCGGAGTGAGCAAAGAGAGCAGAGTCCTGGCTCTATGTCCGCACAGCCCTCGAAAGCTACAGATCTGCGGGCATAAATACAGGAATTTTCCTGAGAACAGTCTGCGTGTGTAACCGGTTTCGTCCTGTGACCATTAAATCCTAATATACTGTTTAAAAAATATATTAAACCAAACTGAGGAGCAGATGAGGATATGAATAATTACAACACCCCCACCCCTCAGACCCCCACATTGAATGTGTAATACCATG